GGGACAGTTTAATAAGCTCCCAGAGTTTGGAGGCTCATCTGGTGGGATGCTCAGATCAAGGACACATTAGCATGACTGTTAAGGACCCTCAGATCATGGGAAGGCAAGGTTATATTTTACAGGGCTAAAACAATGAATGAGGCTAGAAGTTAGAACGTTTGGTAGGATTCTGTGGCTTTTCTTGGAGTGAGATATTTTTCTTCATTTCCGAGCCAAAAACAGATGTGTGTTTTTCAGGAATGGTTAAAGTTCAGGGGTCATTGCTTGGGGAGGGAGATTGCCAGGCTTCACCTTTAAATCCTTTCTGAAATGAAACAGTATAAAAAGCCAATAAAGAAATCTGTGTGCCTCCTGGCCTTCCCTGAACTGAGGGACAGCAAATACCCTTCTTCAAGGGTCCATTTCTCAGTGTCTTCCAGAGTTCTGGGATAGTTCCTTTCTGGACAACTTTTACTTGGAAGAGAAAAATCCTTATTTGGAATAAATCTTCGTGTAGGTCAGTCGGTGGAACTAAAAGTATTAGGTCACACTGTCAGGGACACATGGAGGAAGTAGAGTGTTCCCTCCAATGGAGAACTAGACAAGTACACAGAGGCGGCCAGCCCTGCTTCTTTGCTGGCCACGGGACTGACATCTGCCACCGAGTACACCAGAGTGAGGGGCTGGGGGTCCCATGAGACCTGGGCTCTCCTGCCGGCTGCCTGCTGTTCACCGGAGGAAGGTTATCTTGACTGTAAGATCCTGAGGGGAACAGGAACCATACAGTCCCCTGAGGGGGCAATGGGGACCTTCGTGCACCCTTTCTAACTGTGTACCCTTTATAAGGCTGTGAGCAAGAAGAGAAGGTAAAATAGCTTCACCACGGGTGGTTGTGGAATAAAGGTGGGGCTCAAATTTAACAAAATGCAAAGCAAGTAGCAAGCACCCTTAGGGAAGGGTTGGCCCAAGTTAGTGCTCCTGGGCCTTATAATGGGATAATGGAATCTGGAACTGCAAGCCTGCGTCTGGGCACGTACTGAAGGTGTGCGGGTTCACCTTGGCTAACACACCCACAGCAAAGTCCTATCGCTGCGTCACCAGAACACTGGTGACCCACAAGGCGGGGGTGAGAAGCAGGGTGAGGGTGGGGGAGGGAATCCCACCTCCATACCGAAGAGTGGGGTCTGCAAGGACTGACACGCAGACACGCCCTGCCGCCCCCGCCTCCGCCGCAACCCTCTCTGCGCACTGGCTGGTGGCCACCGCCAGGCCAGGCTAGGGACGCCCGGAGGGGGCAGGGGCAGGGGCAGCGGGAGGCAGCTTCAGAGGCGGCCGCCCCGCAGCCACTCCTTTAGACTCTGAACACGCGGAGACGGGGGCGCTCTGCCTCCGCCTTATAAAAGCGCCGGGGCAGGGCGGCCGGCAGCCCGGCGGCGGGTACAGGCCTCGGCGGAGCTCGCCCCGCGCCGCGTCCCCACCTGTTGCGGCGGCCGCAGCGCTTGGGCGTGGGCTGCAGAGATGGGCCGCTACTCCGGCAAGACGTGCCGGCTGCTCTTCATGCTGGTGCTCACCGTCGCCTTCTTCGTGGCTGAGCTGGTCTCGGGTTACCTGGGCAACTCCATCGCGCTGCTCTCCGACTCCTTCAATATGCTGTCCGACCTGATCTCGCTGTGCGTGGGCCTGAGCACCGGCTACATCGCCCGGCGCCACCCCGGGGGCTTCCGGGCCACCTACGGCTACGCCCGCGCCGAGGTGGTGGGCGCGCTCAGCAACGCCGTCTTCCTCACCGCGCTCTGCTTCACCATCTTCGTGGAGGCCGTGCTGCGACTGGCCCGGCCCGAGAGCATCGATGACCCCGAGCTGGTGCTCATCGTCGGCGCCCTGGGGCTAGCGGTCAACGTGGTGGGGCTGCTCATCTTCCAGGACTGCGCCTCCTGGTTCGCCTGCTGCTGCCGCCGCCGCCGTCGCCGCCTGCAGCAGCAGCAGCAGCTGGCCCAGGACGGCGCTCGCGCAGCTTTCGGGGACCTCCAGGGCGCGGAGGACCCGCAGCACGCGGCGAAAGCCCCTGGCTCGGACTCGGCCGTGATCCTCCGGGGGGCCTCGGTCGAGAGGAAGCAGGAGAAGGGGGCGACCGTGTTCTCAAATGTAGCAGGTGCCTTTCGGTTGCATCCTTTGGACCACGTTGCCCGTCCTCTCTTTCCTCGCCCTGTCCCTTTCTTTTCATCCCACGCCCTCTTTTCCTACTACCTGTATGTTTGTTTTTTTTTTAAATCCAAGACCTTTACAGCAGTCCTGCTTTGCTTCTCTTTATGCTAGTGTAACATATTCCCCACAATTAACTTCTTTTCTTTTCGTAAATCCTGAATCCTCAGGTTCACCTAGTGTTTTTTTCCTTCCCTCATTCTCTCTGTATAATATATATATTGATTTTCTTAGAAGTCTGGTCCTTATTATTGGGCAACAGATAGCACTCCCCAACCCTTCCGGCCTTTCATTAGTTGCTGTCTGAACTTCCCCCCATTTTTCTGTCCTCTGGGATGTTATGGGTTTTGCGGGCGGGGGGCGGGGGGCTCCCACTCGCCCCCTTTTTGCTTTAACGCGAAAAGAAGTTTGAATGAAGTCCAAAAGTGGATCACAAGGCCATTACAAGGCCAAAATACACTGTTCTGGGTTGTGTGTGTGCAGGGGTGGGGTCTCCCATAAGCTAGTAGGGATTTAAAATAACAATACTTTATTTTGAGTCCATTGATTTTTTTTGTTTGTAGAACTTATACACAACACAAGGTTTCTTCTTTGAATGCAGGTGATTCCTTGAACACCCCAAATGAGCCTGAAGAGATGATGAAAAAGGAGAAAAAGTCCGAAGCCCTGAATATTAGAGGTAGGATTGATTTCCGGACCATTTGAAATCCTTCTCAGTGGCACATGTGAACTGTGCTGTTCATTTCTGTTTGACTTTTAATAAGCCAATGGCATGTTTGAAAGTAGCCCAGTTACATGCATAGACTATGACCCTGGAGTCTCTTGCCTAATCAGTGCATTGATTCTGAAGGAGAAACTAGTTGCTAATGATTTATCTTTGCTCCATGTAGACCCACACTAAAGCTGCCTGCTCGAGAGCCCTAGATATCAGTGTCCTGTTGCTATTTCACTTGACTTTACTTATCTATGATATTACTAACATACAGTGTACCATGTTTTAATTGATTGTGATAAGGATGGATTTTTCTCCTGAGTCCTCAGGTACCCCACTCTCTTTTCCTTTCCCCCATTCTCTCTGTATAGGAGTAGTAATTTTCTTGGAAATCAATCCTTATTGTTGGGCAACAGATAGGACCCCCAAATCCTTCCTCCTCTTCATCAGATGCTATCTGAACTCTGCAATTTTCATTTTTTGAGATAGAGTCTCAAGCTGTCACCCTGGGTAGAGAGCTGTTGGCATCACAGCTCACAGCAACCTCAAACCCTTGGGCTTAAGTGATCCTTTTGCCTCAGCCTTCTGAGTGCCTGGGACTACAGGCGCCCGCCACAATGCTGGTTATCTTTTGGCTGTAGTTGTCATTGTTGTTTGGCGGGCCCTGGCTGGATTCAAACCCTCCAACTCTGGTGTATGTGGCTGGCGCCCTAGCAGCCTAACCTCAGGGCTTTTTTTCTTTGAGACAGAGTCTCTCTTTTTCACTCTCAGTAGAATACTGTGATGTCATAGCTCAGAGCTTTTTTTCTTTGAGACAGAGTCTCTCTTTTTCACTCTCAGTAGAGTACTGTGATGTCATAGCTCACAGCAACCTCAAGTGATCTTGTGTCAGCCTCTCCAGTAGGTGGGACTCCAGGTGGCTACCACAGTGTTTGGCTACTTTTTAGAGAGGAGGTCTCGCTCTTGCTCAGGCTGGTCTCGAACTCATGAGCTCAAGCAATCCACCCGCCTCAGCTTTCCAAAGTGCTAGGACTCCTAACAGTTTCTAAATACACTGATCTTTAAACATTTAAATGCAACAATAGAATTTTCTCTTCAGAATTGGTGGTGAATCTTTTTGGATAAAGAGAGTCTAACAACAAATCATCATCTTTTAGTTTATCTTTCTTTTTTTAGGTTCTGGTTAAAGATATATATTATATATTGGAAGTTTTTAAAGTGGGGCTCATCATCATAGCACTTTAAGTTTTCAAAGCATGTTCTGTTAATTATCTAAAAGATAATTATGTTACAAACTTAAATGTAGGTGGGGGAAAGAAACAAAGAATGAAGAGTAGGCCCCTGATAGATACTGTGATCTTGTTGGGGAAACTTGTAGAATCTTGATGAATTTTAGTCTAAAGCTATTGGAGCCAGTAGTGCAAGCTTTGCTGTACCTGGCTGGGTCCTTGGTCTATAGGTACTGACAAAAGCACAACTCTAGCTTCTGACAGTGCAGTGATTGAAAGATTGGATGTAGCTTCAAGATGCCCGGGTTAGAGTCCTGGTTCTGCCATGTGAGAACTATGTGGGCAAGTCAGTAAACCCCTTTAAGCCTCCAAATACCTCATCTTTAAAATGGGGATAATAACAATACACACCTCATGGTGTTGCTATGAAATAAAACATATAAAAGCTCAAGGCCTATAACTAGCTAATATTTTTATTATGTACTTTGTGTACTTTGTGCCAGGAATATTTTGTGTTCATGAATGAGTCAATTGGCCATCGCTCCCATCTTAGCAGGTGGATACAATTGTCATTTAGGTAGTGAGTGGAACCGCTGACTGAGACAGCTTCAGCATCACTCCTGCTGCTTTTGAGGAATACCTATGCTGTGGCTACAGGAGCCTTTCCATATTTCAGGCTAGATGTGAGGCTGTACTCTTAGGTCTTGTGTTTTCATCTTGGACTCATAATCATGGAAGGACCACAGAATGTTAGAGCTGGAAAGCTTAGAGAAAGTGGGCTCCGGCCCTTTACTTTGCAGATGTGGAAACAGGATGCAGAGAGTTTGGAGACTTCCCAAGTGACCCAGCTAGCAGCAGAGGCGGGG